CCGCGGCGGGCTGAGCTGCGGGAGGCGACGGGACTGCTGCTCAGAGCCCGGGGCTTGGGGAGAGGGCTCTAGGCTCGGGGCTTCCCCTCAGGGAGGAAAGGCAAGAGAGTAGTTTCCCTCTGCAGGGTACATTGAGTCTGTTTGCAGCACCTGGGTTAGGGAAACGTAGCTTTTAGGTCCCTATTGCACGTTTATGACTAAAGCACAGACATCAGTGCAAATTCATTACTCTGTCGTGAAACGCCGGTAATTTTTAGGATTTTGTCATTGTAAATCATTTTTAGGCATAATATTTCTGTTAGGTCAGATCCCACACCAAGTTAACCCACAGTATCTCCAAAAGACCAGGCAGTTACTCCAGTCCCTGAAGACGTTCCTGCGATCAGACTTGAGCCCCGTATCCCCACTGAACATTTGCATTATAAAGACATTTGTCAGAAGTATCCAATGACCTATGCCTACAAAGCCAATATCTGGATGACACTATACAACGAAGATCATATTTCACTGCACTACTTCTTGAAGGCTATATGCATCTAAAATCCAGTATCATACCAAGGGTGGGCAAAATATTTTTTCATTTTTCCCTGCCTTTCACTTCACTCATAGGTACTGTAGTCTAACTTAGCTAAGATCCTTGAATAATGAAAGTTTTGTGATTTTATCAGAGTTTTAACAATTCCATAAAAAGATAATTCAAATAAACTGAATATAAACATGCGCAGACTGGATGCACAGTTACAATAATGATAATTTAGATGTTTGCCTTTACAGTTATAAGAATTTAGATATTCTTCTTTCTCATGATCATTAATCTCTTGGAGAAACTTTCTTTCTTACTAAGCTGAACCCTATTTGTGCAGGGGCCTTTTACTATACCCCTTTGTTAAAAATTCTGAGGGTAGTCTCAGTCACTAAGACACGACATGATATTTTTGCTGTTTGCTCTTCTAGCTATCCTAGCGTTACATCTCAGACATATTGTTGGTTTTGACCAAGACTATGTCCTGGTAGGGTCATCCGGTTATTCCTGAAAAAAGGAATACTTAGATGTATTACTTTAAACAAGGTTTAGCCAAAGAATCCCCCAAACCAACAAATCAATAAACCAACTAACAAACTTTTTTTGTTTTTAAACTTACCTCATGGATACGTCCAACAGCTCCAAAGATCTTCGCTGTTTGCCCAATCAAGCTTGGAAAACTCTCACTAACTTCTTTTAGCATCGGAAGAAAAGTGGCTAAGGCTATTGGTTCATATCTAGATATTTCTGTAAATATGCTTAGAATAATGTCACTATAATTAGGGTCTCCTAAGTGTCTCATTAGAAATGGAATACATTCTTTCAACACCTATTAAAACAAAAAAAAAAGATTGAGAGAGAAATGAATTGTGAATATATGTAACCAAAAGAGGTACTGTACATTGCAGTGATAAAAATAAAACACTAGGTTTTGATTCAGTAAAATATTTTTCCAGCCTTACTGACCTTTGCACAGAGCTATCACTGAGGTCAACAGGAGTTCAGCTCAACATATGGAATAAGGGTAAGTTGTAGCCTTGAAACATTGCAGTTATGCATATATAAGTAAGGAAATGCCCAATTGTTTAAAAAAAAAAAAAAAAGACAAAAATCCTCATCAAGTATTTCCCTTGCTCTGGGCCAGTCCTATACTTCATTGATTAAAACAACAGACGGATTAGTCTTACCCAACGATGCAGTAAATTAAAGTACTAGTAGAAATGTCTGGTTTCCCCAGGAGACTAAACAACATGACAAGGTTAATAGCTAGAATGGAGGAAAAAAAAATAAGGGCCAAGATCCTCACTGCACAGCAAATGGTGCAGACAAGTTGTCATTTCTTGCAGCAATACTATTTTCAAGAGGCTTAGGATCCAGTCCTTAAAATCCTCCAGCCAACAGAATGTAGTATATGCAACTATCTCTGTTTTGAATGGGTTTTTTTTTATATATATATATATATACACACACATATATATATTTATGTATACACACCAATACACCTCTGAACTGTGAAACTGCCATCTGTGTAAAACATGTATTTCATTACAGTGACATGGCATAAAGTGACCCATTCTTCTGTTGCTTTTTTGAGAATTATCAATCTCAGTAAATTGACACCTATCACTGGCAAAATACTGCATTTGGGTGGCCTGAATAAACTGTTTGTAGTAGTAAATGATAATACTTAGAACTTACGCATGACACACACACAAAGCACTGCACAAACATGAAATAATTCAAAACTAACGAGGACCAAGGATAAATATTTGCATGCTAGCACTACGGACTGATCCTACACCCACTGAAGTCAAAGGGAGGCTTTCCACCAACGTCATGTCTTGGCTTATACGTCTGCCTAGCTCCAAGCCAGAGTCCTCGTCTGCAGCAAGCACGTGACAGTCACTTGAAGCAACTTAACACGCTTCAGCTGCAGAGTGCAGCCCTGCAAGGCACATCTGGCCCTCCCGCAGCCAGTGAGGCATAATAGGCCCATCTGGCTAACAAATATCTTGCTTTCAAAAGGAGTTCGATTTCATCTGCAAATATATATTATGACAAGGTTTCCTTGGCTACCTGGAAGAAGATTTTAACTACTGTTGTTTTTTCTTCCAGAGATTTCCTAAATTGCTTTCTCCAAAATAAAGAGTTTTGTGCCCCATTTTAATGCCAACGTCATACTGTTTTCAAAGCCTGATATATTTTGCCTTTGTTAATCTCTAATTCACTTCTAATCAGTTCTTAACTCATTTTAATTCTCCTTGATGAATTATTTAATAAAATGAGTTCATATATTTTAATGGAAACATAGTTATTGGAACTAATACTCAGCTGGCAGAAGAACAGCCAAAAAGGCAGAAAATAGCTCTGGTTTAACCAAACTTTTTGGTCCAGTAGAGTCATTGCAATGCTCTGTTTATGATTAAATGGAAGATCTGGAATGGAATTGAAGAATTTACATGGAATTAAAGTAGAAAAGCACCGCCACGCATGCTATGGGACCCCTTATCATTCTGAGAGTAGTTAGCAGACTAACATTACCTAGTTATCCAAAACAAATAAAACTCCTCCAAAAAGAGGTACAATATTGAGCAGTACTTTTTTCCAAACATAGTTTTACCCCAAGTTCTTTTCTCCTAGCCACTATCTGGAACAGCCTTAAAAGGTGGTGTTGCTCTGCTTGGTCCAGCTGAGCCATCAGTGCCACCAGCTCCCTCAGATAGCGGTTTATCGGCTGTGGTTGCTTTTCATACAAAGAAGGCAGGACACGCAGCAACATGGAGTTCCCTGTTAACAGAACAGAGGAAAAGCCATCCAGAAAAAGTCACTGCCCCATGACTGACTTCATGTCAGTACCCATAGCTAGACAGACCCTTAGAAAGTCAGCTCACATCTGAAGACACCAATTCCTAAGAGTCATCAGTACGAAACTAGGGAGGCATAAAACTCACCGTAGAAAAATGCTGACTGGTCCAAGAAGCCTAACAATAAATAACCTAACAAGAATTATTCCAGGTATAATAACATGAGAGTAGGAAATATTTACCATTATTTATAATTTTCAGTCTCAAGTACAAAATCATGTACTTTCAGCTGCTTAATGAGTTTTCAGATTTGGATGATACTCCACTGAGTCTGAAATCAGACTAAGTGTGATTTAAATTAATCAACAAAAAAGGCCAGAAAGCACATTAAAGCTATATTTCTCCTTTGTTGAGATTCAGACACTTAAATAACCAGCATATGGAAAGGATACTTGATTATTAAGAGAACTAAATATGCATGACAGTAAATTTGAACATAAATAGTTAAGGATGTCATTTCCAGGAATAGAAAGGAGCCAGAGAGAAAGGCAATTGCAGACAGACAAAGATATGCAAAACCCTCTCTCACACATTTTCTTAAGATGTCTGTGCGTAATTCAATTTGAAACCCAGGCTCATACTAAAATATATAACTTCACATTGCTGTACATGCCTGCCTCAATGCATTTAAGTTTCACTTGAACAACATATGGAAAACATCTGCCTAGTGCTGTGTAGTACCGATCCTTTTTGTAAACCCTTGAAAGTCCTTACAGTCTCTCTGGATTTGGTTTCCAATAGGAACAAGCACTCTGGCCTGCTGCTTTTTCTCCCATTTAAAATTAGAGCCCTGTAATTTTGGAAGATAAACAGGTCACTTAATGGATGGTAGAAAAAGAATATTGGGGTCAAACTCGACCACATCAAGCTCAGGCCAGATACAAAAAACCACCCCAAGACACCATTAGGTCTTGCAACACCTTCTCTGGGCCAAGTAACTAAAATATAATTCTTACCAGGTTCAGAAAACTTTTAGTCAAATCAGCGTATAATGATCCTCGAGGAGTCCTTGTACTTGGAGAGAATGCCTCTGCACCATTTATTCAGCCAGGCTTTCGCATCCTATTCCGAAGCATTTATTCTGCTTGAACAATCTTTGGCTTCTCCTTGAAGGCAGCTCCAAGCCCCCTCCATACCATCAGTGCAGCAATAAAGGCCACGGCGAGGTTCAGATCCTACCATTGTTCACATGGACGTGGAGAATTTCTGTATTGCTCTAGTCCATAAATACTTGTGCATTGTACAACCGTTGTTTTCCATAAGTGAAACCCCTGCTTGGGATCTCCTTTTCCCCTGAAGTGCAATGCCTAAACTAGAGTACCCCAACTTATGCTACAACAAGAACGGCTTCGTGCGAGTGTGAATGCATGCCCAGTTTGCAACGCAAACCGGCAACTTTCAGCGTGAAAGCACAAAGGCCAGTTGCAAAGAAGACATCTGCTGATGAATTGCCCTAAACAGCTTACCAAGCAGTTCAGTTCAGCTAGCTTCCATCCCACGTTCTTAGCGCAAATCTCTTCTTGATGTTAACAGAAGACTAAACATTTTCAGGGGCGTGAGTGTCACCAGTGTACTGTGGGATTCATGCTCCTAAATCCCAGAGGTTCTTTGGAAAATCCCACCGACTGACTTGGACGTGCAGCTTCCGGGTCCTTTCTCAATGAGCAGGGTAACAGCAACAGCTGATGTCGCACAGCTAAATACCAGGCAAGGCAATATTTATGACAGCCCTGGAGTTACACGACAGTCTAGCAGAGCACCAATTACTCAGAGTTTAACAAAATGATGAGAAGACATATTTACTTAACATTTTCTAGACTAATATCTTAGTTTGAAATGGAACAATTTTATAACTGACTACACTAAAAATTATTTCCTTCTCCAGATCATTTAGGGCTTACAGCCCTTCATTCTCTGTGCTTGCACCCCTGTTGGTTTCAAGTGGAAGTTTTCTGCACATACAGAATAGAACCCTTAAACTCTGGCCAAATTTCAGCAATGGTAACAACTGCAAAAGACAAAATTCCCATGTTCCCAGACAAGCAAAATTCATCTCAAGGGAAAGAGTAAAGACTAGCAGCACTAAAGGAGGAATAACAAACACCGACCTGAGACATGCTATTGCCTAAATTAGGTTATCATGCATGGTAAGATGTCAGCTCTGGAAATTAACAGCAATTATTCCATCTAAGAAAATATCCATTTCAAATATCAGATGTGTTACAGGAGTAGCATAATTTCACATAACATGATGGATTGGAGCCATGAATCTTCTCTGAACAAAAATACATTGCACAAACGTAAATGGACACAGCAAACGTTACTGGGTTTATATTCACCGACCACAATAAAAGAACAGCAAGGGCAAATTCGAAGCAGCCGCAGTGCTTCTGAATGATATTTAAATGCTCTCACTGACTTGGAATTCCTTTTAATTGAACAACCTGTATACGTGAACTCGTAAACAATCCCAGCAGACAACACAGATCCTGTCTGTTCTTCTTGCAATTTAAAGTCATGAAACAATCCAATTCCTTGTTTTCTCAGATTTTCACATCTTGAATTAGCTCTAAGTACATTGTGCCATGTGTTTGGCATATATCTTTTCAATTTCTAAGCGATTTCTGCATGCGTAGTTCAGCAGCCTCTGCTTTCCTTGGCGCTCAGGCTAGCCAAGGCGATACTGTGCCCACTCCTGAGTCATTTGGTTCTGTTCCATCTTGCTTTGTCTGTCTCAGCCTAAACTACGAGCCTGAAAGCGTGTTTGTCATCTGAAAATGGAAAAACCTTCTTAATTACCTCCTCTCCCTCTTCCTCCCCCTACTACCCTTATGCCCAATGCATTCCAGATTAGATTTTCCCAGATTTTCCAAGCAGACCACACAGTGACAACTATGCAACTCACTCAGAAACTAACACACAGGTGGGTGCGTTTGATGGCTTTGCACCGCTGGCTCCAGGGCAGACAGGGAAGAGGCCCAAAAGCAGGAGTAACCCCAGGTATGTGCTCGGAGTGCTCTGCGCTGGCCCGGCTCTCCTGGCTGGCCTCGGACCGTGCCCCCACCCTCCCCTTGTCCGTTCTCCCTTTACATGTTAAGGGCAGCAAGGGTTGCCCTGTGCTTGGTTTCTGCTCTGTCCAATCCTTGATCCTACGCAGTGATGTTGTAAAAGAAGGAACCTGGCAGCACACTGCAAACCTAACATGGACAGAAAGAGTTCTGCACAGTGGTATTTTGACATTCACTCTATATTAAACTGAGTATTTTAAGTTCAACCATTAAGACCAAAGTTGTCGCTCAGTTTAGCCACTTGCATCCCCGTGCAGGCAGAGCACTCTGAAAACGTTGACCTCTACGTTATACCCTGTTACCTGGGGGTTCATAAGTTATTGCTTTGATATTATTACTTATATTTGCAGGAAAGCAGGCAGAGGCCCCATTGCAGTAGGAACTGCACAGGTAGCTCAGGTTTGCACAGTGCAAGCCGGGTGTCAGGAGGAGTCGAGCTGTAGCAACACCAAACTCTCGGCAGGCTGAACACTGCCTCGTGGAGCAGTGGATCTGCTCTGGGGCAAGGGCACCCAAGGGCACCCAATGGCCCAGGCGCCAGGAGCTGCCGTGGACGGCGGCAGAATGAGCAAGACCTGAATGGAAGCACAGGACCCTCTTTATGCAGCACCCGTTATTCCTGTATGCCATGTGTATGAGGGTAAGTCACTAAACTACACGTTCTCGCACAGAAAGGGGATGCAGAATACCCAGCAGATAGTTACATGTTTTCTCTATATTCCAAATACTTTATAGTGAATATATAATTTGTGTCATTGCTCTATTACCTTTAATCTCACCCAAGCAATGCATCCTGAAATAATCAATAGCTCATTGAGCTTTCAAAAATTAAAACAGAAACTGTGTAGTTTAGATAAAATTCAACAATAACAATAATATTTAGCACTAGATTAACGCTTAATCCAAGGGTGCCTCATTTTGTTTTCAAGTTAACTGAAACAAATCTAATTAGCAGCTGGACAATTTTTTGGCCTCTGAAACAAGATACTAATAGTAACGCATTATCCGGAGTTAGAATGTTATTATCGGGAATTAGAGCTAAAAACTGTAAAAATAAAATCCTAATAAGTCATCTTTATTTTCTGAGTTTTCTTCAATTGCTGAAAGCAGTAAAAACTTCTATGGTACTAGCAATTTAAATATAACTATCAGTGAAGCTACAATGTTCAGGTTAAACCATACATATGTACTAAAACCAATTTCACATATAGTTATTTTTCTACCACTCCTTTCCAGAGCCCTGGCATATATCAGCGGTAAAACAAGTTTGCAGAGAACACTTTCCTTTTCCACAAAGGATAGAAAATAGCATATCCGGCGTGCGCTGTGCTTTTAGGCAGCCAACTCCGAGTGATTTCATCCCGTTGTTCTCACCCTCACATCACTGCACGTTACAGCAATCTGCTCTTGGAGGGAAAGTCACAGTTTGCAAAAGCAAGCCTTCCCCGCTTCTTCCCCTCCTGTAATCAGTACATCTTCCCCCAGTGCAAACCTTGAAGGCTGAGATTGAGCAAGTTGCACGCCCCCTTCTACTCCCATCCAACAACAACAATCAGAAGTGCTCTTATTACACCACTGGCACTAGCACTACTCATTCATTCAAGCTGAGGCACTCGCAGCATTTATTAGGGGCTCTCTGCCTCTCACTCCGAGTCTTGTCTCCGCTCAAGACCTTCAGCTCCAGGCAGCGCAGATACTTTTAGGAAACAGCTGGAGAATGCTGCCTCAAGAAATGCTTTCCTTGCTCATACTGTTTTGTGTTTTCAGGGCTCCTGTTTCTGCTCTGGATGAAGATGATGACTATAATCTCATGTATGTGAATATGGATAATGAAATTGAAGGTCCAGTTCTTGGT